GGCTGCAGAGAGGGCGGCCCACTGCTAGAAGAACTTTACTCGAAACCGCTGTGAAATTAAACAGGATATTTATTAAATGCTTGCAAGCATGGAGCAGAGTTGAAACACATACACGTCATGATTCAAGCCCACTCAAAGGGTTCCTCCTTCGGCTTCAAGTTATATAGTCTAAGGTGACAAACATCTGTGCCCCCCTCCTCAGGGAAGAGGAGTCACCTCCACATCAAAGAGAGAGATGGCTTTATTCATGATTGAAGTAGATGGAAGGGAAACCGTGTTTGCATTAAAACTTCACAACACGAGGTCCTTGTGAACACACTCAGATCCTGGTTCACAAATGATCCTTAACATCTGTTTATCACCATGTACTCATATAAGAGGTCACAGACCTTCTGTCCACTCACACTGAACCTTATTCTAATTCTAACAACCATCAGCAGGAGGAGATCGAGGTGGGACAACTTGTTTATCTCCACCACCGACCACCAGCAAGGAACAAGATCCAGGACTCCTGAGGGGCCACTGTGTACAAAGTCACGGATATCCAAGGTAGCACATATGTATGTAGACACAGGAGGGAGGGCCGGTGAAGAGGGTGCTCAGGTCCAACTTCTGCTTGCGCTGGAGAGACGTGATTCACCTGATTACGACCTGGAGGAAAAATTAAGAGCTTGTCCTGAGCACATGTCGAGGAGACCCAGTTCACATGCTGAGGATTATGTTCTGAGGCCGGTGCCGACTCCAAGGAGGAGAAAGGAGGGAAACGTTGGAGTTGACCCACTCATCCCCCCTCTACGCAGGAGCCAGAGAAAAACAGCTGCGTCAAACCAAAACCCATTTAACTTGCCAAGATCACGTTGCAATGCGTTGTCTTTCAGTCCTGATGTACTCTGAGCTGTTAGCTGGCACGGTTCTCTGTCCTTCAAAGCTTCAGGGGAACATGGATGGGCAGGAAGTCACCGGGGACGGTGACTTGCAGCAGTGGAGAATGTAGTAGAATGTATAAATATACTGTGTTTAATATTAACTGTAGACAATACATTATAATGTCCTGCTATTATTAAAATACAGAGAGCAGCACGATGACAGTGTCAATAGATTGATTTAAGCTGCCACCTTGTGGTTAAAAGTGTCTTTTTTGACGAGACAATGGACGACGATGGACAAAAAAAAAAAAGAAGCATCTGAAATGCCTTCATGTGTTACAATGCTGTGTCATGCAAAGGGCATAAAACAACCAGGTTCAAAGTATAATTGCTAACGGCTACTTATATGATTTGCATTTCTCGCTATCAACCGAATCATACGTCAGTATTTACCGTAATTTGCGGACTATAGAGCGCACCCGAATATAAGATAAAACAACTGCTGACGCAAAGGAGAGGCTTTTTCGGCTCAAAAATTTGAGACCAGGGATGGTCCACCTCTAAAATCTCCTTTTCGGTGGAGATTCTTTTGGGCTTTTCAGTCGGATCTGCACGGTGGAAACACCTTCGGCCCGTCTGCTCTCTGTGTTCCCCCAGTCTTAAAGAACGTTTTTCAAGGTTAGGGGCCGTCTGCTTTTTATTTTCCTTCTTTTTACATCGAGTACGTTCTTCACGTTGCCGTCTCACCATCGATTCATTAATGGCAAGTTTACGTAGAGCCGCTGTGTTTCCTTCTCCGACAGTCAGATTGGTTGCCCGCAACTTAAATGCTCCATCATGTTTATTCTTATTCTTGTGTGTTCCAATGTGATGCACAAAAAGGCTGTTTGAAACACAACCAAACAGGAAAAGTCTTCCTCGGCGCAATTTCTCTTGCATCCGTCTGTCTCGCTCTCGCGCGTTAGCCTGTAAAAAATGATGCATTTAAGCTGCTTTCCTCGGTATTAAAGAATTCAAACAGCTCTTCTCATGGAGGCCACTTACACCACTTCCGGGTCATTTCACTCAGTTAGGAACCTTCATAAGCAAATTTGACAAATCAAATCCAACCTGAATGTCACGTGATAGTTTCCCTATTGTGTCCAATCACTTGCACCAACCCTGTGTGTCCGTCGTCTCCTTGTCGGTTCTTTAATACTTGTTGGTGTGTCCGTGTTGCCTTTGCATCCCTGCGCTTCTCTCTAATAGCAAATAAAGTGTTTTGGTTTCGGAAAGTTTGAGTCCTGAATCCCGGTTCATACTAATTAGATTATATTCCACCTAATTGTCATTAGTACAAGTACTGAGACCAGGAAATGCAGTTTAGCATTTAACCAGAAGTGCAAGAGAGCCGATAGAGCGCAGAGTATATCTATCTGGTATATATAAATAAGAATATGTACAGTGTAAAACATGCATTGGAGCAGTACTTACATTAAGCAGCATGGTTGTGCAAATGTGGCATAATTGAAGTGTAGAATGTTCAGTGGTTAGAAGGTCATGTGTCAGTGGGAGAGGTGTAGGGGGGGACTGGGGGTGTAGATTTCAGCAGCTGCAGGGAAGAAGCTGTTCCTGAAGCTGCTGGTCCGGGAACGGAGGGCCCTGTTCTGCCTCCCAGAGGGGAGGAGGGCCAACAGTCTATGGCTGGGGTGAGTGTTGTCCTTCACGATGCTGCGCGCCCTCCGCAGACATATTTTGTCCTGGACAGTCTCGATGGTGAGGAGTGAGGAAGCAGTGATGCGCTGTGACAACTGTAGCGGGGGGCACAGGGGGAACACAGGGGAGTGTATACGGGTGGGGTGATGAGCAATTGGATGTAGCTGGGTGGATGAGACAGGTGAGTGGGCAGAGTGAAAACAGACACACACACAGACACACAAGGCTAACGAGACGTTACAGATTCAGAGACTTGTTTTTTGCTGATGGGCTGGTTCTATTTATTTAAATTGACTCCAACAACTCAGATCATAGACATTAGAGAAAACATGTCTGCATTATTTAGACAGATATTATGAGGATACTAATGCAGTGAAATTCAGGGTCATGTTGGGAAGCACCACTCAGACCACTTGTCTCTCAAAGCTTAAAAATGAAATATTTGCCTTTCCAAATTACTAATATAATATATGTACGAATATATATATTAATGTAAAATTATTGATTCAGTTTTGAAGAACTACATTCTTTCCTCTCACTTCTAAGAGGAAACAATAGGGATTGTTAGGTTTTCTCTCTTGATGCACAGTAGAGAGCAGCACTGGGTCGCTGTTGGAAAGACACAACTGTTACTGATTTGAATCACTTAAAAAAAGGAAACACACACTTGAAAATGAGAATAGCAACACTAGATTTCAGTGGAAGTCACGGTTCAATTTTCAACCCTTTCTGATGTGCAGGATGCACCTGCAGGCCTCCTGTCTTTATTTAACCTCATGCAAATGAAGAGGTTAAGTCTCAGTTCTCTGTGATCCTGCGCATGACTGGAAACACTCTGATGTATGATCTCGTTATTGTACGTGTGAGAAAAGCAACCTTTTGCAAGGTGACTCTTGAAAAAAAGAATATTCCTCTAAACTATTAAAGAAAATAAATATACACAATTGGATGTATGCCATGAATTCCAAACGATACAAACGGGACTAACTGTATTACTACAAAACTCCAGGAAATATTTTCAGATCACTTCTTTGCAAAAATGTTGAGGGAAATAACCTCCACTGATAATAATAATGAGGAATAACACAACTGTGAGAAACATGCAGGTTGAAGCTAAGCTCCTCCCCCTGTCAGTCACTCCCAGCTTCAGTGTCGTATTAAATGTCTCCCCCAGCACCTCCTCTCCTCATCCTCCAAAGCCTCTAATCTGGCAGCAGTCAGGTCTCTTTCCAAGTCACAAGGCCATTCTCATCACACACTGACACCATGCTGGGGACCCTCTGCACTCTCATCACTGCTCTCACATGTGAGGAGGCTGACTTCCTGCAGCTTGGACTTCATGGTGGACTCATCAGTGTGTGTGTTTCTCTTGACTCCATGTCGTCTTGTTGTTTCCAGGTGTGAGTGGTGTGACGGTGGTGACACAGAAGCCTGTTGTAGCCGTGACGACAGGAGAGACAGTCTCCATAGACTGTAACCTCGGGACTGTTACTGGCCGTGTGGCTTGCTGGTATAAACAGATTCCAGGAGGAGTTCCTCAGTTTGTATTATATTATCATCACAGCCACAGCTCTCCAACATATGGCACTGGTTTCTCATCTCCGAAGTTCACATCCACTCATCAGTCAACTTCAGATTATCGTTTGACCATAAAGAACATCGAGGAGGGAGACTCAGCCGTCTATTACTGTAACACATGGGACACCTCTGTTAAAGAGCACGTATCACAGTGATTTACACTGTGACAAAAACCTCTTCAATGAGTACTTCTGCTTTTTGAGACGCTGACACATTTTGAGTGAAGACATCAGTCAAATTCTGTAAATTATATTTCTTATAAACCCATTTATTCATTATACTCAAATCTTACTTAGTGGTAGTTATTTATAGTTTTCCATGTTTACACTCTAACAAAAAAAAGAGATCAGCTCACCTGTAAATGATAATGACATAAAGGCAAGTTATAATTTATTCCACTGTCTTGAAGAATAACTGTTAACATTATATATTAATGGCTCTTGTTAAGGTGACACAAGACAAGTAAAGTAAACACTGGACTCAGCTTATGATCTCAGCTGATCACCATAAATCCCACAGGGTTCGGTTCTTGGACCCCAATTATCCAGATGTTCGGGTTGGAGTCATCCTTCATAACTTTAAAAGTTCTAACCATCATTATTAAGACTAGACTTAATTTTCTCACTAAGAGTAACTACATGGCTTGATGAAATTATGTTTTCTTCAATAAAAAACAAATAGAAATCATTGTTTACAACAACAAGGACAAACAAATGACAATAACATTGACTCTAAAACTATGAGCTCACTGAATACTGAAAAAAATTGCAAATATTTAATTAACGTAATTCCTTGACTGGATATAATACTCAAATGACATTAGCAGACTTGCACAAACAAAATAAACACGTCTTTATGATCAACAGAATTCATGAAAAGTGTTGATGTGACTCACACACGATGTGTGTTTATGTGTAACAAGTGAATCAAGTGTTTAAGCTCCTCCTCACTGTCTTTATAAGCCTCAGTGTTTCTTCTCCTCACACTCCCGCCCTGCTCACCTCTCAGCTGGACTGTAAGGAACGTTTACAGCTCACACTGACAACATGCTGGGGATCCTCTGCACTCTGCTCACTGCTCTCACATGTAAGATATTCATTCATTCATTTCATGCTCCATGTTTTCATGCACAAACCTTTCCCCTGACTTTTCTCTGTGTGTTGACAGATGTTGATGCAGCGATAGTGCTGACTCAGACGCCTGCTGTCCACTCAGTTTCTACAGGACAAGAGGTTGTCCTCAACTGCAACATTCAGAGAGATGATGGATATTCTGTGTCATGGTATAAACAGGTTCCTGGTGAAGCTCCTCAGTATGTTCTCAGTTTTTACCATACGCACAGTTCTCCAGACTTTGGATCAGGATTCTCTTCAGACCGGTTCAACTCTAAATCCTCTTCAGACACAGAATACCAGTTCATCATAAAGCGTTCAGAGACAGGAGACTCTGCTCAGTATTACTGTCAGACATGGGATGACTCTGCTAGTGAAGCTGTATCACAGTGGTTCACACTGTGACAAAAACCTCCATCAGAGACCTGCTGAAGATTTATTGATTCTCAGCTAAATCAGACACATCAAATAAGGGAAACTGCTTCAAAACATTGAAGGACAACAAATCAATTCCTGTGAAGAGACAATTCAGTCTGGAGCAAATCAAACTGATGAAGTTAGTGAGATGTTGACAATGAAAGTTGGTCTCAACAGGATCTTTCAGTTCCACTCCGTCATCAGAGCGAGTCGAGAGGTTTTTGTACAGCCATGTGTACCAACTGAATCACTGTGGTATTCGGACAAGGAACCAAGCTGACTGTGACAAGTAAGTACTTTAAATCTCTTCTTAAAACGTAAGCAATTCTTTTGTTTCTATTTTATTTAGAGATTTATGTAATATGTTGTTATTTTATTTGTTATACTTTTTGAAGATATTTAACATGTTCGATTTTGTTCTTAACAAGTTATTTTTTAGCAGACAATTTTTGTTGTAAAATTTTTTACTATATTGATTTCTGCTACTCACTGATAACTAACATTTAAAAACAATTTTAACAACATCATACTTTAAAATGATCAATGTTAAAGTCTGAATATTAATTTACTGAGTTTGTGATGATTAACTACTAATCTTTTAAAATGAAGGGCAAACTTTAATGTATCTTTATTATTTAGTTTTAACACCACAATTGCTGGATTTTAAACATGTAGTTTGGCTTTGATAGTAAGATAAATAAACCGAGGTCAGTTCTGTTTCACTGTATTCTCACTTCAGCAAAAGAGATTAAGATACATATAAGACTAAGTACAAATATAACTGTATTTAACATGAACAACATAGAACATCTCGTTGTATTATCTAGATTGTGAATGATACACTTTGTTTTTGAACTCTGCTCTGATGGTTTCTAAAGGTTTTTTTGTTATTCTCCTCAACTTACTAACAGATTCCTTTTGGCGCCATGATTTGCATCAATAACTCCACTTCCCTTCATTTAAAGAATGCCTTTTGTGTGTTTCAGGCTCCAGCCTCCGTCCTCCCGTCCTCACTGTCTTTCCTCCGTCCAGTGCTGAGCTGCAGTCCAACAAAGCCTCTTTGGTCTGTCTGTCCAGTCAGTCTGGGCCTTTTGCAGATGTGACCTGGATGTCTGGAGGGAGTCCAGTGGTCACTGGGATCTCTACCAGCACCGCTGTTAAGCAACCTGATCAGACGTTCCACATCAGCAGCTATCTGGCCATCCAGGCGTCAGACTGGAACATGGATAAGGTTTACACATGTAAAGTGTCTTTGGGCTCCCAGACTGCAGAGAAAAACATCAAGAAGTCTGAGTGCCTCACTGAACAACAGTAGAGGAGCAGAAGGACCATTTAACATCTGCTTCTTCCCTCTTTGTGCTGTTTATTCATCACGAGCGTTACATGTTAGAACATGTGTCTCCACGCTTGTAGTACATGTTGTTGACACTTAGGTAGAGGTGTTGTATCCGCTTGGCAAACAGTAAAATGTAGTAAAACCTTTTGAATAAAAAGCATTTTGTAAAACAACATATTTCTTGTCTTTTTATCACTGACAGAAAAGCATATTATACTCATAGTATTCTTTGAACTCATCTAAACTTCTGATCTCATCCTACGTGAGATATGAAATACTATCATGAAAAAGTTGATAGTGGATTTGTTTGAGAGAAAGAATTTCCTTTTTTAAGGTAAAAAATGTGACACAGGAATAAACCATCGGCCATTTTTAGTTACCAAAACGTATAATGTTTTAAAAGCATTGTCAAAAAAGATCTAGATCTTTTATGTGCTGCAGTCAGACATTGTCACATTGAGGATTTCATTCAAAGTTGTTGAATATTGAGTTTGAAAGATTGGCGTCTGAAAATATAAAAGTTTAGGAAAGTTTTTAAAGCTGACATATTTTTGAGGCAAATACTATTTACCAAACTTACTGTATTATTGACTAAATGGTGGAGTTTTAAATGCACAGAAATGTATCATTTCCACTAATCAAGTTTGATGTGAAGGAACCTTGTGTTTCTTGCATCACATAATAAAACTTATTCTTATTCTTTTGTTGTATTTGTTCTTCAAGTCGTCTTGGAATGTCTTCTAGTAACAATAATAATCCTGGTGTTGCAAAAAGGTGTGTTAATCTTTTTTGTAAAGAACATCAAAATGATAAAACCCGTCTTTGTCTGTCAGATTATCTTTGAAGGAAAGCTTATCATCTATTTTTTGTTTAGGTGTGTATACAAATATTATGAATATAAATAACTTCCACTTCAAATATCTGTTTAGATGAAATATAAGTCAGAAACTGACTGATGGCTTTACTCAAAATGTGTCAGCGTCTCAAAAAGCAGAAGTTCTTAGTGAAGAGGTTTTTGTCACAGTGTAAATCACTGTGATACGTACTGATCAACAGAGCCGCCCCATGTGTTACAGTGATAGACGGCTGAGTCTCCCTCCTCGATGTTCTTTATGGTCAAACGATAATCTGTAGTTGACTGATGAGTGGATGTGAACTTTGGAGATGAGAAACCAGTGCCATATGTTGGAGAGCTGTTGCCGTGATAAAAACGTAACACATACTGAGGAACTCCTCCTGGAATCTGTTTATACCAGCGAGCAGCACTGTTAGTAACAGTCCCGAGGTTACAGTCTATGGAGACTGTCTCTCCTGTCGTCACGGCTACAACAGGCTTCTGTGTCACCACCGTCACACCACTCACACCTGGAAACAACAAGACGACATGGAGTCAAGAGAAACACACACACTGATGAGTCCAACATGAAGTCCAAGCTGCAGGAAGTCAGCCTCCTCACATGTGAGAGCAGTGATGAGAGTGCAGAGGGTCCCCAGCATGGTGTCAGTGTGTGATGAGAATGGCCTTGTGACTTGGAAAGAGACCTGACTGCTGCCAGATTAGAGGCTTTGGAGGATGAGGAGAGGAGGTGCTGGGGGAGACATTTAATACGACACTGAAGGTGGGAGTGACTGACAGGGGGAGGAGCTTAGCTTCAATCTGCAGGTTTCTCACAGTTGTGTTATTCGTCAGCATTATTATCAGTGGAGGTTATTTCCCTTAACGCCTTTGCAAAGAAGTGATCTGAAAAGATGTTCTCAAGTTTTGTAGTAACACCATTGGGGCCTAGTCGTGTCTCTACTGATTTAAATTCATGTTAAGGAACCAATTTTGTACATCCTTTTTAATCTGTATATCTTATTTCTTAGGTTGTTCAGAAAAATGTTCTCGCAAGTCAAAAGGAGAGTCGCTTTACAAGAGATAACCCTGACCCTAACCCTCTCAAGTGTACATTAAATAGTTACAACAAATTTTTAAAAATACATCAGTGTTTGCAGTGACAGACAGGATTACATAGAAAACACATTAGTTATATGAGGTCAAATGTTGTTAACAAACCTCGCCAGACGTCAAATACAGTTACATCTTGTGTGCTGAGACTTGACCTCCTCATTTACATTGAGCTATGAATAAGAAGAGGAGGCCTGCAGCTGCATCCTGGGAAAGAAGGGGGGAGTAGAGAGGTGATGCTTCACTGGTAGAGGATGAAAACACAAGTTTCATTTGCTCATTTTATTTAAAATTCAAACATTGCAACTAAGTTGATCCTTATTTTAAAATGACTGAGTTTAGTAGCAAACATGTCATCAACATGGTCAAAATGTATTATTAGTCAATTTCTCAGAAATAAAAAATAATTTGCAAAAACTTTCCCTCATCTTGCTGATGCTAATCAGGATACAGATATACAGCAGCTCTCATGAGGCAATTTGATATAGATGCACTGTAAAATAATTGACATTAAAGTATTCCACTGAAACTGGTTGTAGTTCCCAGCAGGTGGTCCGACCCGCTCCCTCAGTCCACAAGTCACAGTGTGCTTTAATCTCAGGACCCTTTTCCCCAAAGGTTGGTCCAGCGTCTGGCAGCTCCACCACCATTGATAGTGTACGTGAATGATTAACAACAACTAAAAGCCTTTTGTGGTGCTAGTTCCAATTTTCCATTTAAATATTTTTAATAAAATGTAATATATACATATATATACTGTGATAAATCATAACTGTAGACTATACAGCCAATGGGATCCTTAATGTTTAGCTATTAAAACACAGAGAGGATCAAGATGAAAGGGCCAATAAGTTGATTCAAGCTGCCACCTTGTGGTTGAATGTGTCTTTTTATATGAAAAAATAAAAATGTGTCTTTTCTAAACCAAGCATGAGCATGTGACCTCTTGTCGCATTTCCCTCCTCAATAAGACTACAAGTCAAGTCATTTTATTTTGTATAGCCCATTATCGCAAATTACAAATTTGCCTCAGAGGGCTTTACAGTCTGTACACATACAACATCCTCTGCCCCGAAACCCACCATCGGCACAGGAAAAACTCCCCAAAAAATGAAAAAACCCTTACAAGAGGGAAAAAAGGGAAGAAACCTTAGGGAGAACGTCAGAGGAGGGATCCCACTCCCGGGATGGACAGACTACAATGGATGCCATGTGTACAGAATGAACAATGTATAATACATGCAATTCCTATGACAGAAATGATAGTAATGAAGTAGTTGTGAGTAGTAAGCCAGGCGCACAGCAGGACCACTGCAGGGGCAACCACCATCAGATAGAACCACCATCACATAGAACCACCATCCACAGAAGCCTGTGGGGAGGGAGAGCACAGAGATTTTAGGAGAGGGTAATGTCGGTTTATGAGTAAAGTAATATGATTAATATCTAAAATAATGATGATGATGATGGCAGCAGCAGGCGTCAGCATGGCCACGGTAGGTGTCAGGACCAGGGTCCCGAAGGAACCACGATCTACGGAGACCTGATAGGGAAGAAAGCACAAAAAAAAAACTCCCGGAAAGAAGCTGAATTAGTCATGTGCATTAATAAAACGTGAATTATGGTAGAAAGAGAGCGTGAGAGAGGAGCTTGGTGTGTCCTAAGAATTCCCCCGGCATT